AAAGAGCTATTTCTTGACTCTAGACAACTTCTAGACAGAAAACGATTAAGGATAGAGGTCACCTTTCCCAGATGCTTCAGAGTCTAGGTCAGGACACTGAAGGTGATAACCTCAAACCCTATTCATTTGTCACTGCTCTCCAATTTTCAAGGCCTAGCACAGTGTCCGGCACACAGCAGGCACCCAATGAAGGGCAGTGGAAAAATGACTAAAATAGTTATATCTGTCAAATAATTTCTATTTTACCTCATCCACCGTTCTTTATGGACTCCTCACATCTACATATTGTGCTTTCTAGTTTGCATTTATCTTGAAGAATAAAAAGAAACTTTAAAAATGTTCTAACTTTTCTAAAAATTGCTGCCTTATCACTTTCTTATTATTCTAGCAATGCCAGAATTTTGAGATATTTGGATCTTTCTTTAATTAGATTGTGATGGCTGAGGCCATTAGGCCCATATTCAATTCACCTGTGGAAGACTCTAACCCCCGTGGAATACAGGCTTTATGGAAATCACAACTCTTTTGACTATGACTAATCAGTAGGTAGCTTTCCTGTCCCAGGACTTTTCCCATGCAAGCAGGAGAGTTTTCAAATGAGATCTCAAATCTCATTCTGTTTAAACAAACAATGCATTTAATCTTTTGAGTTATGGACATGGACATGAATTGCAAGAAAAGAAAGAAAAAACAGAATCCAATGGAGGAAAAGAAAAAAAGCCCTTACAAATTGCTTTGAAATAAAAATAAAGTATCATTTAGTACCTATCAAATAGACAAAAAAAAATTTATTAACAAGATAAAACACCAGATTTGGAAAAGGCACAGGAAATAGATATATGTTACCATGGGTGTCAACTGGTATAACTCCACTGGAGAATAAAATGAAAGTGGCTAGTGAGGCTGATTTGTGCACACCCAATGAGCCTGTACTCCTCTTCAAGCGAGCAGATACTTTTGGAGAAGGGGTCAGGGAGAACTGGACGACGATAGAACACTGGGGGCCTCACTAAATCTCTAATGTTTTACTTCTTATAAAAAAGAACTGAAGCAAATATGGCAAAATGTTAAGGTTTTAAAAGTTGAGCAATAAACACCTGGATATACACAATGTCAATAAGCACACTACCAAGTTCAGCTGACTCTTTTTTGCAGGCAAGACTTCCTCAATGAAGGAAGTGGAACACTGATTTACATTCTGGTGGGTCAGCATTTTTAGTTACCATCGGTTTAAAGCAAAGTCCATGGGCGAGAAAATTCACATAGAATTGTGAAATTGTTTGGGATAACAGAGAGTAAGCTGTCTTCTCACCAAAATTCCCTTGCTTTTATTGACTATGAGATAGATTGCCAGGCTGAGTGTTTCCAAAATGCCATAAGCAGGTTTAGACAGTATCAGGGAAATAGTATCCTGTGCTCAAACAAATTTGGGAAGTGACAAATTAAAGAAAGGTAACAGACTTCTGCTTTTTTTCCTTTTTAGAAGATTAAAAAAGGATGATATGTATATTCACATAATAGTATACCACAGGGCAGTTAGAATAAATGAACTAGAGCTATTAATATAAATAAATCTCAGAAGCACATTAAGAACAAAAAGCAAACTGAAGAGGATATATAAGGCAGGTACCATTTATATAAAGTCAAAAAGTATTCAAAATTCTACTAGATATTGCTTGGAGATAGATGCATGTGTAATAAAAATATAATTAGGAATAATATACTCCAGATTCAAGACAGTGGTTACTTCTAAAGGGAGGTAAGCAGGTTTTTTTCCCCACAGGAGTTTTCAGAGCCTTTGATATATTAATGAGCCTCGTGACTCTCCTAGAGAGGTTACCGTATTCAACGTCTCAAATTTATTTGGTCATGGAACCCTCTTCTTCTGGCACTTTATTAACATTGCCTAGAAACCTTTGGGAAATGGTAGTGTAAATCTGAAAAAACAAATACACCTTCAGAAGACTTTCGACTCAGGTCTTAAAACACAACTATCTGCACTTGGGTGAAGTCATAGCTCTCTCTTTGTACCTCAGTTTCCTAACACACAAAATGAAACAGTATCAGCCTCTCCCTACTTTTAAGAGTTCTTTTTCTAAATTTTCCTTCTGGTTTCCCTCTTCCTCTCTCTTCCTTTCCTTGTCTCTAACCTTGACTTGTGCCAATTTAAGAGAACTACAGAAAAGGAAAGCAGCTTGATGGAGAATGAAGTCTAGCAGAAGGGAGCTGTGTTTAGACCACCTTTTCCTCCTCTTAGTAAGTTTCTCCTCACTCTTCTTATTTCCCTTTTTCAACTACAGTTATTATTCCCAAATTTAATCTTCCCCTGAATCCCACCTCTACTTACCTGTAGCTGAGGGGCAGTGTAAAACCCTGGTTCCTTCCCTGGGACAACCAGATAGTTTTTACGCAGTCAATTACCAGCTGAGTCAACTGGACGTTAGGCTCCTTGCCTCCTGGACATAAGGTCTCTTGGATGAAGGCCTGGGCAGCCGCAAGCCAGGCTTGCTCCTGAGGAAAGTGAATCTAGTTAAAACACCTTCATGACCATCCTGCCCACCAAGGAACTGTGGGGAAAAAATAAAAGAATGGGGGGAAAAAAACAAGAGGGCACGTAAATGAAGATGAAAAATAAAGGAGTTTAGAACTTGAAGAAACGTTAGAAGTCTTAGTCCAGCCACACAATTACCTGACAGCTGGCCATCCAGCTTTGGTCTTACCTCTTTCTCTAACAAACCTGTTACCAATCCTTAAAGCACTCAACTGGAATATATACTCCTCTGTGACCCCTTCTCTAACCATCCCAGGCAGAATGCTGCTCCCTTCTTGGAGCTCCCATAGCACTCTGACATCCTTCTATTAAGAGCAATTATCATTAGGTATAGTGGGGTCTGGGTCAGCAAGTCGAAAAATAAGAATGGTCTAAATCACCTTTGAAAAAAATCCTTTAAATTATTCATAAAGAATAGGACATAGTACTGTACAGTAATATGTAAATGTAAATGAGCCTAATAATGGACAGTGCATGAAAAGGACACACAGTATGATTTTTAGTCATTTCCTTTTTTTCAGTCACATATATACATTCAAGTTCTCGTAAGCTAAATATATGTAAGATATAACCCTTAGATTTGTTTCCTGTTCTTTTTTTTTCCCCAGCTAATATGTGGGCTTCCTAAGGAGGACATGAGCCATCTTTGTACACTTGCCAGATTCTGGATACATACTTGCCTGTATATAGAGAGCACTCTAGGGAAGGGGCCACCTTGGCCTAAGTCCAATGCTAGGTGGCTTTATTTCAAAATTCTGACAGAGTTGAACAGTAATTAGGGGTAGGATCTTTATTCTTGAACCCCAGTGATAACTGTAAACCATTACAGCACTCTATCCCTGTTCCTCCAATACTCCTCTGTTAGATTTTTTATCAATCCTCTACATTCAGTTAATCTGAAGCAGTTTTAAAGAACACTGGATGACTTTCGTATCCTTGTGGACAGCCCTACTAGTGACTCTGACCTTCACTCCACCTTCTCTTTCAGGGTCAGGTTTGTAAAAATGGCCAGGTCATTATTTAGAACTGTTCCACCAACATAAAGCCTAGACTCTCATATTTTTTGTCTTCCTCTCACAGTCTCCTTTTTTAGCTCCTGTTCTTCTGAGGGCCTGTCCACTGCTTGGCACATTGAATACTACCATTTCCCAAAGTGGGTACCACTACCTCAGAATCACCTACATTTTATTAAAAATTCAAATTCCTGGATTTCATCTACTGAATCAGAATCCTGAGGGGAGTAGGGGACACAGGAGTCTGCATTTTAAATCAGCTCCCCAGATTAATATTGATATAGGCTGAAATTTGAGAACACTGTAACTTTCCCCTCAATGACATCCATTGGATGTTTTTACTAGTCATTCATAATAGATGCTGATATTCCTAAACCTCTACTTTAGCTGAGATCTCTCTCTTCAGCTCTAGTTATACTATCTGCCGACCAGATTTTCCACGTGGCCAACCTACACGTACCACACATGTCCAACACGAACTGTTCACAAAATCCACTCCAATGTTCACTAACAGAAAATAGCATCCTCAACCAAATAGTTCTACCCTGAAACTGGATCCTTAACTCCTTCCTCTCCCTGCACAAGACCCAAGTCCTTCGGATTCTATCTCTTTAATATTTTCTTACTCTGTCTTCACCTCTGCAACCTCAATACCGCTGCCACGGTTAGAGTCACCATTACCTCTCATGCATTACCACAGCCTTCTAACTGGTACTCTCAACACTGCTACATCAGGAAACGAAAACTGCTTAAAACCCTTCAATAACTCCGTCCTCTACAACCACTCAACTGAATTTCTCGAGTTTTTCAAAGATACTTGCTCTGTCTCTTGCCTTTGAACATGTTTTTGCCTCCGCCTTGAAACCTCGGTTAGTGCTTTTTCTGTATTGCGAACTCCTGCACGCACTTCGGTTCTCAAAAGCTTTTCTTGATTATTAAGAGTTATTATCCCTTTCCGCTACAGCTGAGTCAGGGGTCTCCCCCAGGAACCCACAAGCCCCACACTTCACTAGTCCGCTCCTGGCTTCCCAATGGGCTTGAAGCCTAGAGGGTGGTGGACAGAGGCGGTGTAAGGCTCACAGAGGGGGAGCGGGACTGAAGGAATAAATACATTCGCAGAACCAGTCAGAGTGGTAAGATGAACAGTCTCACAGACTCCCTCGCCCGGATGCGGCCAGAGAAGTCAGGGAGACAAGAAGCAAGGTGGAGGGAACAGGGGAAGAAAAAAAATCCGAGAAAGACAGGAAAAAAAATAGAGGAGGGACGGAGAAAGGCACTCACGGAGGAAGGAGCGTGACCCTGGGAAGCTGCCATTACGCGCCCGAAGCCCCGCCCCTGGGAGGTCTGTGAACGGCCGCCGGCGCGAGTGCTCACGGGAGCAACTCGGGTGACGTCATCGTCAGGCGTGTTCCCGCCTCCATCTGCCGCCCCTACCCACCTGGCATCCTCTCTGCTCTCTGCTTAGAACCCCTCTGCTCTACTCGCACCTCTGTCCCCGACTGTGACACTGCTGTGTCAGTGTCGTCCTGGCATCCTGTTTCCCAGTGACATCCTGTCTGGCATCCCTACGATGGGGTGGGGGAGCTCAGGAGCTCAAACAAAGCCGGCCTGGTAGGTAATTTCTAAGCATCTTTCCACCTCCCTGATCTTGCCATGCAGAAAGTGTTTCCTCCTCAAGGCAGCCAGAGCACATCATTCACACTTGGGTTGTGGCCTTAAGTCATTGCTGTAATTTTTAAACTGTTTCTCCCACTTGGATTGTTAGTACCTAGAAGCTTTATCCTATTTATTTGCCTTTGTATATTGGAGCCTATTACAGTGCTTGTTGCTAAATAAGAGCTTGACAAATATTTGTGGATCAACAATGAAAGCCTCTGCTCTCACTGATTCAGTCAACCAGCCACTCATTTCACGGCTTAGTAGGCAATGGAGTGAACAGAATTCATGCAGCTGTGTGCCAGGCTCTGGGGATACAGCAGTGAACAAAGATAAAAAAAATCTGCTTTCATGAAGTCTACATTCTAGGACAAGGAGACTGACAGTATAGATTGGATAGATAGACAGAATGCATAAAATGTTAGTAATAGGTGCTATGGAAAGGGAAGTAGGGCATACAGGGGGTAGTGTGTCCTTTTTATACAGAGAAGGCCTTACTGAAAAGGTGACTTTATAGTAAAGAATTGAAAGAGATGAAGGATTCAAATGATGGAGATAAAAGAGAAAGAATTGGCAGGGGCACCAAACATAAAGACCCTGTGGTGGAAAGAAATGCAAGGAAGTCAGAGAGAGTGGAGGGGAGGTGAGATTAAAAAGGTGGAAGAGGGGCATTTAAAGCCATTGTTATAGCAGCTTCAAATCGTTTTTGGAACAAGACAGTAAATGTTGATTGTAACATAATAAACTATAGACAGTAAGAATGCTATAGTCATTTAATAGGGAATAAAGACTTTGAGTTATGGTATCCCCTAATTCAACTTCACATTTGATGCAAGCTCTCTATTCCTTATTGCATGAACTTGCTATGCACTGTGACTCTAAATTCTTTATAAAGTGAATTTTTGTCTGCAGTTATTTCCCATTATTACCTCAGAGATGTGTTCTTTCCCTTTCCACCAAAACAACAACAAATCCCCCAGAAGAAGCTGAAATCTCTCTCCAGTCCAGCCACACTAGCTACCTGTAGGTAAAATTGTAGTATTTCCAGAATATCTCGCCTGGCTTTAGTACATCTGCATATCAACAGGCACTCAAGGGTGGAGAGAAGTATGGATCTGTACCTGAGAAGTGAGGGGAGGCGTGGTTTTGCTTCTGCTGGAGCAGGAAAGAGAGAAACAGCCCCGGACTGCAGTTTGTAAGCAATAAATGGATTTTAAACTTTATTTCTCCCTTTGACTGATTTCGGTTTTTAGAGGTATTTTGCGCCAGGATTTCCTTTCCCTGGACTTACACTACCCTTGTTAGGACACCAGCAAAGCCACGTAAAAGTTGCAAACCTAATCATTCCTTTTGCTTTGAATTCTGGAAGACCCTCTCTATCATATTCATGAAGATGCACCCTATATCCTGGGATTTACTTTTGATAGTTCACAGGAGGGAGTGTTGGGTTCAGGCTATAGTGATCAGAGAAAGTTGTACTGGACACACTGCCACCCCCATTAGAATGATTTAAATGTCAGATTAGGAACTTAATCTGGTGGCAATGTGTAGGACCAAATGAGGGGCACAAGAGAACAGGAGGCCACTGAAGTAGGTCAGGCTTGACTTAATAAGGATCTTAAAGGAAAGTGGTGAATGACAGGAGGTCAAGGAAGCATGGAGAAGAGAGTGGTTGGTCTATCACAGAGGGAGGGAAGTGTGGAGGACTGGGGGCTGTCTCAGACCTGGTGGTTTTGAAAAGGCTGTGCTTGTCCAGGAGGCTGCTGGAAGTATGGGACCAAAGTCAGGAGAGGGATCAGGGCCAGAGGGATAAATCTGGAAGTCACTATGTGGAGGTGAAAGCAGTGGGAGTGCTAAAATGTGGAGGAGACAGGACTAAGCAAAGAGCTGAGCAAATAAAGGCTTCTGGAGGGAGCTGGAAGACAGGTGTTGGATGGAGCTAGGGAATGCCTAGAGGGAAAGAAACCAAGGAGTGCTTCAGATGTCATAAATCAACACATAGCCTCTGTCAGAAGTGAGCCAGAGAGTACTTATTCAACAGCCTGGAACCTTACACACCAAACAGATGGTAAGTGTTCCGTCTGGGGCAGGGTTGGAATTAGGGTGAGGCTTCTAGGGACCTTACTTGCCTTACCTCAATCTTAGCCAAGTACTACTGAAGAGAATGGAATGGGGGAAGAATGAGGATAAAGACTTTCACTTTTTTTTGTATCATTAATAAACAATTACATGAGCAACATTGTGGTTACAAGATTCCCCCCATTATCAAGTCCCCACCACCTACTCCATTACAGTCACTACATTAGTGCAGTAAGATGCTATAGAATCACTGCTTGTCTTTTCTGTGCTATACTGCCTTCCCCATGCCCTAACCCCCTACATTATGTGTGTAGTAATGCCCCTTTTTCCCCCTTATCCCTCCCTTCCCACCCATCCTCCCCAGTCCCTTTCCCTTTGGTAACTTTTAGTCCATTCTTGGGTTCTGTGAGTCTGCTACTGTTTTATTCCTTCAGTTTTTTCTTTGTTCTTATACTCCACAGATGAGTGAAATCATTTAATATTTGTCTTTCTCTGCCTGGCTTATTTCACTGAGCATACTACCCTCTAGTTCCATCCATGTTGTTGCAAACGGTAGGATTTGTTTTCTTATGGCTGAATAATATTCCATTGTGTATATGTACCACATCTTCTTTATCCATTCATCTACTGATGGACACTTAGGTTGCTTCCATTTCTTGGCTATTGTAAATAGTGCTGCAATAAACATAGTGGTGCATATGTCTTTTTCAAACCGGGCTCCTGTATTCTTAGGGTAAATCCCTAGAAGTGGAATTCCTGGGTCAAATGGTATTTCTATTTTTAGTTTTTTGAGGAACCTCCATACTGCTTTCCACAATGGTTGAACTAATTTACATTCCCACCAGCAGTGTAGGAGGGTTCCCCTTTCTCCACATCCTTGACATTTTTTGTATTTTGGATGGCCATCCTAACTGGTGTGAGGTGATATCTTATCGTGGTTTTAATTTGCATTTCTCTGATGATTAGCAATGTGGAGCATCTTTTCATGTGCCTGTGGGCCATCTGAGTTTCTTCTTTGGAGAAGTGTCTGTTCAGATCCTCTGCCCATTTTTTAATTGGATTATTTGCTTAAGACTTTTCCGTCTGAACATTTCTGTGTTGCCTGACTTGTTAAACAATTGTGCTGGGTATTGTATTTGTCCAGGAATTCTCCTCCAGCTTTCTTGTTCTCAGGCTTCAGACTAATGGGAGACACAGTTTGCCTGTCAGTGCAGCACTGGAGGAGAACCTTGTGTTTATTCCCTTTCTCCCATACAAAAAAATTGTATTTGTAGCTTCTTTTGCTTTCTTGGAGGTCCTTCTTTCATGATTCCATCTCTCTCCCAACTAATGACATCATTCCCTCCCCCTCTCCCTTCAAGCTTACTGGTAACTGCTTTCTACTGTTCAGGCTCTAGGTGCCCCACTGTATTTTGTTGGTTTCCCTTATCCTGCCCTTATATCTGTAAATAACACTATTAAATTTTTGAATGTGCCATGTTTACTGATAGTATGCTGACTAAAACAACCATGTATTTATGTATCATGAGACTTTTAAAAATGTACCCAAAAAATGTACGTAGGTGGAAAATGCTGTGTTTGAGTTACAAAACTAAGGAACAAGTCACTGCAGTAAGCCACAGCTTCCCCATCTGTAAAATACGGTTTTTATGACAAACGAGATCATTGAAAGTGCCTTAACGGGTGCTCAATAAACGTTTTCTATCATTATTATTGTTACTGCAACTAGCAAGAATGCGCAAACTAAAAACATGCCTCCCATTCTGCTAAGAATTAAATAAATTCGTCCATTCATGAAAGAAAGTCAAAGGAATAGAGGGAGGGAAATAAATAGAAAACTTAGTCTTGGAGTGGAGGATTCTTCTCAATCAGTTTCCTGCATTCAAAGCATCTGTCTCCATCAGTTTGCACGGACACAACCGAGGCGGAGCCATGGAACTGACCATATTTTCACAATTTTACCTCAACATAGATTTGTGAGATAAACCAGCCAGGGGATAAGCCTCTCTAGAGAATCCAAGTCAGAGCAAGGCGGAAGCTCCGCCCCCGACGGGAGGAAGAGGGCGGGGTAACCTCAGGCTCCGCCTCTGCCCTCGGCGCACTTGGATGACATGAACAGCGCGCCAGAATTCGAGGATCTCCGGATCTGGGAGGACCGCGTACACGTGCGTATCCTACTGCGTGCTGCCCTTTATCCCTGTGCTTGCTGCACGCTCTCATCGCCACCCTTCCCAGGCCTGCTGCAGGCTTCCTCAGTATCCCGCCAGGACAAGCTGCGTCCAGTTGAGCCCCGCGTGTCTGCTTTAGTGCACGGCGTCCATTCGTTGATCTCGCGCATTTCGTACACGCCCGGCAGGGGAGACCCCACGTGTACTCAGTCCTTCTTTCCCAGTTCATTCAACCAATAGAAAATCTGTCGACCGCCTACTGTATTGTCACTCTGGTGGTTGGGGATACATACCTGTTGTAGACAGCCCGGTCCCTGCGCTGCTGGAACTTCTGTTTCACTGGGAATGTTAGACGAAAGTCAAGTGGTTTAAATGTGGTAATTCCTGTGAAGGAATTATAAGGAAAAACGTGCGGGGCTTGACTTTAGAAAGGGTTATTAGCATGTGGTGGGCAGCGCGGAGCAAGGGAATCAAGACTGACCTTGGAGGAGCGTCGTTTACTGAAATAAGCCTGTCCTGAAAGGGCAGGAGGGGCTGGTGAGTGATAAGAACAAAGAGTTTGCATTCAGTCATCAAGTTTTTAGATTTTTCCCTTTTTGAAGCCCCAGCTGTTCTAAGCCTTGGTAATCCAATGGAGGTAAAACAGCTCCAGTCCATGCCCACATGGAGATTTTGTTCTAGTGAGGAAGGAAGAGCTAAAAAGAAGTTAAAATGTCAGGTAGTGGTAAGTACTAATGGGAAATTAAAATAGGGCCACCTGATAGTGGCTATTTAAAAGCGATAGATCGAGGAAGGCCTTCCCAAGAAAGTGAATTTCATCAGAAAACTAACAAAAGCTAGCCATGCAAGTATGAAGGTGAGAAAAATGCCTTCCAGAACTGAGCTTGGCAAGATGGAGGAATAGAAAAGAAGCCAGTGTAGTGGTGCATTGTGGGTGAGAAAGAGTGGCATGAGATAGGGCTGGAGGAGAAGGCAGTGGCCAGACCAGGTAAGCCAGGGTGAAAGGGTATCTCACTACGACCCTCCTTACCCCAGAACTACTCAAGAGTCACGGGCCCACACAAGAGATTTTATTATCTGAAAGAGAAAATGGCTGCACCTAGAGAGAGGGAGCAGCAACTCGATGAGGAGCGCGTTTTTAAGGAGTAGGGGTAGGGTGTGTTCTGCGTTGGTGATCGGATCTTAAGGGGTGGGTGACCATCTGGTCGGTGGTGATTGGATCTTAAGGGGTGGGGGTCTTAGCGCACCAGAATTTGCCTTCACAGGGTACTGAGTTGGAAGGTTATATCATCTGTGCTGAGAAGTGATAATTTCATTAATGCTGCCATTGGGCAAGTGGATTGTGGTTGGGTACATGAGAGGAATCAGCTACTGGTCGGGAGGCCAGTGCATGAGGCCAAGTGGGTGATGGTGGAACTGAACTAGAGTGACAGTAGCAGACATGAAAGGATGTGACAGAATTTCTCCCCAATACTTGGAAATTGATTGCTGATGGATTGGGTATCGAGAGGGCTCAAGGAAAGAAGAATTAAGGTTGATGCCTGTCTTTTTGGCTTGAGCAACTGATTGAATGATGGTAGTATTTACTGAAATGGGGAAGACTGGGAGAACAGCAGGTCTGGAGACACAATAAATCCACATTTCTGTTTTGGCAAAACCAGGCTATCATCTGTGTTTATGAGACATCTATGTGGAGAGGTCATGTAATCATTTGAATGTACTAGCTTGGAGATTCCGGGATTGAATAAAGTCATAGAATCTTCAGTCAGGGTTGAATAAAGTTATGCAATCTGTTGGCAGATAAATCATGAAATTGTCATTTTTGGACAAAAATGGTTAAATGCTGGCAATTTCATTGGTTAGTCTACTAGATGGTATTTAAAGCCACTCTCTGGAAGAAGTCAGGAAGAGCATGTAGAGGAAAATACGAAGTACAGAGCTCAGGACACTGAATGTTTAGAAGTAGAGCAAAAGAGGAGGAGCCAGCACCCATGACTATGAAGGAGCAACCAGAAGGTAAAAGAGTATCGGGAGAGTGGTGTCATTTGACCTCACCAGACAGGCCTGATCCAGCACCTCCTGCAGGTTTACCCTTAGATGCCATTTCTCCCAGGAAGACTTTTGTGACTCCTAAAGTGCTAGATTGGTATCCACAGTCTCTTGTCCTTAACCACACTGGACTGGAAATGTCTGGTGTACTTGCCTGTCTCCCTCAATAAAATGTAAGCTCTATAGGGGTAGAACTGGTTGTTGTCCTATTCGTAACTGTTTCTAAGACCTTGCCTAGAGCCCAGAAAAGTGCAGGGGCTCAGGGATATGGGTCAAGGATGTACCTGTATACCCCTATCCCACATTTTATAGGAGATTTGAGACCCCTAAGTTTAAAATTTTCAGGTTACTTTGTCTCTCTGAATGCTCCCATTACTTGCCTCCAACCTATCCCTAATGCTTCCAAAGCTTCATCTATCTTTGAAGCTTGAAATGGGCTGGACAGATAGAATATAGTTAATGTTATTTTTTTTAGGAATCTAACTCATCTTCCCAGCAAGGGACACTTGCAGAGATGTCCACAGTTCTTCACTTCTATGTCCGTCCCTCTGGCCATGAGGGGGCAGCCTCTGGGCACACTCGAAGGAAGCTACAGGGGAAACTGCCAGAGCTGCAGGATGTCAAGACTGAGCTGTGCTACAATGTCAACTGGACAGGTTGGGCCAGGTGGACTCTTGGGGGAGGTACCCCAGTGCCAGGGCAGTGTCTCAAGGTGACCTGTCCTGTCTCACTGCAGTGAAGTCCCTCCCAAATACTGAGGAGATGAAGAAGCTGGTGTGGCTGTTTGGCTGCCCTTTGTTACTGGATGATGTTGCTCAGGAGTCCTGGCTCCTTCCCGGCTCCAGTGACCTACTGCTGGAGGTCGGGCCCAGGCAAGTGTCTCAGCCTGGGACAACTTGTTCCATGCTCTAAGGCCTACCATCCCTGCCAGGCACACTGCCTACCCCTTCCTCTTCCTCCATATGTGGTCCTTGGGGATTTGTTTTTCCTTCCTTCCATCCTGCTTCCTGCCTAGAAAGTCATGTGCATGCCTTCACAATTTGGGAAGATATCTTTGAAGACAGAGCCAGCTCCCAGGCATGTTCTGGAGGTAAAACAGATTGCATTCTGAGAAGTTAAAATTAAAGCATTTTGATGCTAGAAGAACAGGTATGGCTTGATTTGAGTGACCTCTGAAAGCAGGTCAGGTCTAAGGCTGAAGGCCAGTGGTGAGGTGGATAGAGGTAGGAGGTTGGCTGGACAGTGGTGGCAGGATCCACCTTCTTGGCTGGGCTCTTAGGTCCTAACTATCTGGCCCACTCAGGCTGAACTTCTCCACCCCCACATCAACCAACATCGTGTCGGTGTGCTTGGCTGTGGGACTAGAAGCTGTGGATCGTGTGGAGACTACTCGGCGCTACCTGCTCTCGGTGAGGCAGTGGGCAATCAGTGGCGGATCAGGAGGAGGAAGTAACCGGAAATGAAAAATTAGGTCCTGAACTCTAGGAAAATGGGAGAAATGGGTGGGAGATCCTGGATTTAGGCCCACCCTGTTTGCAGTTTGTTCACTGCCTAAGACCGCCTGGACAGGAGGTGGATGGGACAGAAATCCAGCATGTACTCCTTACTGACCTGTGCATGCTGATATGGACTCATGCTGGAGGGGACATCTGTATATAATCTGAACAAAAGTACCATATAGATTAGCAGCGGGCTGTCCTTGCATGACTTGCAGGACTAAGGATGTACTGTTTTGTTCATTCTTTAACTCTTCATCCCTTGTACTCTGTGTGTGTCTCCGCCCCTAGTTTGCCCACCCCACTTCAGCTGAGATGGAGACCATCGCTCTGGCTACCCTTCATGACCGGATGACAGAGCAGCACTTCCCCCATCCCATCCAGAGCTTCTCCCTTGGGTGCATCCCAAGACCCCTTGACAGCCCTATCAACATACTGGCTGAGGGCCGGCCTGCCCTGGAGAAAGCCAACCAGGAGCTAGGTGAGCAGGGGTCCCTGGGAGGAAGGTCCAGGCTAAGCCAGTATAAGCCAGTAATGGTGCCAAGACCTGGGATATGGTGGCCTGAGTCCCACAGCCAGCTCTTCCTGGGTTTGCTTCCTAGGTCTTGCTCTAGACTCCTGGGACCTGGATTTCTATACCAAGCGCTTCCTTGAGCTGAAGCGGAACCCCAGCACTGTGGAGGCCTTCGACTTGGCTCAGTCCAATAGGTAGGGACATTCTGATGACTGAGCCCATGGGGGCTGGAAGGGAAGAGTACAGGCACTCATCTGCATGGCTCTCTCTCGGCTTAGGGCGTGTCTGAGTCTCTTTGACGGCCTGGGCTCCCCATCCATCCTGTAGTCTACATTCAGATCTTAGTTTTTATTTTCACTTTGAATCTGGACAATCCACAATGATACAACATTTGAAAAGTATGACTTTTTGGAATGTATTTGGACCTGTACTTGCTGTTAATGCTGGTGAGAAGACATGGCAAAGCCTGAGAAATGACCCCATGTTTCTGCCCTGTCTTCTCCTCCCTGTGTCACCCCTTGCAGCGAGCACAGTCGACATTGGTTCTTCAAGGGCCGACTCCACGTGGATGGGCAGGAGCTGGCACAATCGCTGTTTGAGTCCATCATGAGCACCCAGGCATCCTCGAACCCCAACAACATCCTCAAGTTCTGTGACAACAGCAGGTGGGCTGTGCCCTAGGTTGGGGTGACTGCAGGGCCAGGGAAGGGGAGGCCCCAGGCCCTGATGGGATTAAGTGCAGATCCCAAGAAGGAAGCAAGCTCAAGAATGGTGTGCCCACAGTGCTATCCAGGGAAAGGAAGTCCGATTCCTACGGTCCAAGGACCCCACACAGCCAAGCTGCTTCCAGCAACAGCAGGGGCTAAGACATGTGGTCTTCACAGCAGAGACCCACAACTTCCCCACAGGTGAGCTTGGTGCCTGGGAGGGATGGGCAAGATCAGAGTGTAGGGAAGGGCAAAGGTCCCAGTCACTGGGTTAGGCCTGGGAAAAGCGGTCATGTAGGCCTGTTGTCCTTTTTTGATGGGATAGTCAGAGTGGGATTTGTCTCTTTGGCACTCATACCTCTCCCCTCTCTCTTTCCAGGAGTAGCCCCCTTCAGCGGTGCAGCGACAGGCACAGGGGGCCGGATCCGAGATGTCCAGTGCACAGGCCGTGGGGCCCACGTGGTGGCGGGCACTGCTGGCTATTGCTTTGGAAACCTGCATATCCCAGGTTCCATCTCTTTCCTTTCTACCATCCCCCCTTCCAGATTCTTGTCCTGGCAGGCATTGAACACTTTTACCTCTTAAAGTCAGAGAGTCATCCCTCTTTTCTTGGGTGGGAGGGCTCTAGAATAGCTGGCCTTTCACTGACCATGGTCATGCGGACTGTAGGCCAGGAGAGACCCAGGTTGTCAGACTGGCTTTGCAGAACTGTGATTTTCTTTATAAACTAACATCCACTCCACAAGAAAACATGATACTGAGTCAGTCTTATAACAACCACCTGCCCCCCAAATCCAGTTCCTTAGAAAGCCTTACAAACTCCGATCTGAAGAGTCAGAGAAGGCTGGTATGGGAAGTGGGGAGCAAGACTAATGCTTGTTCAGGCCCTACACTTCCCTTAAATGAAATTCGTTCAAGTGGAACACTCCACCCATGCAGGTGGTCCTTGGTGGCTTAGACTCTTCCTGAAGGACTCTGACTCTTCAGTCTTCTGTCTTTATAGTTCAGGCAACTTTCTCCTTCCCTTCCAGGTTATAGTCTGCCCTGGGAGGATCCAAATTTCCAGTATCCTGGGAACTTTGCCCGGCCTCTGGAGGTTGCCATTGAGGCCAGTAATGGGGCTTCTGACTATGGCAACAAGTTTGGCGAACCAGTGCTGGCCGGTGAGGCTGAGGGGTTTGGGGGAAAATGGATATCTAGTCCCAGAGGTGGAGTGGGCTGTGTGACTCAGTGAGCACTGGAGAGCCTGGGTGACAGGAACCTGTCCACTCTATCTGTGATGTCCATGCTCTAGGCTTCGCCCGCTCCTTGGGCCTCCTGCTCCCCAATGGCCAGCGGCGTGAGTGGATCAAGCCCATCATGTTTAGTGGGGGCATTGGGTCCATGGAAGCTGAGCAGGTGAGCAAGGAGCCCCCAGAGCCAGGTAAGAACCCCCGACCCCCCACCTTTCTCCAGAACCAGCCATCTTTCTCCCCAGCACATTGCAGCCACAGCAGGGGAACTTAGACAGTACCTCACTGGTTAGTTTTTAACCTCCCAGCTCATGTTTGTTCTCTCCAGTACAGGTTTTCAAGACAGGACAGGGCCTCATGCCAGCGGGGCGGTCCCAGTCTGTGTCACCTCTGTGTTCTTCCTGGTGTACTTCTGCATGACAGGCCCACCCTGCTAAGTCAGGGCAGCTATGTTTATTCATTACCTGCTGTGTGGCTTTTATATACAAGTTCAGTTCAGTTGGGCAAACATTGAGCCTCCATCATGTGCTGGGCACTATGCTAGGTAGATGCTGTGATAGAACCAAGATAAAAGCTCAGCCCCATTTATTGAATAGGTGACCCAGTCATGTGGTTCAGAATTTAATAGGCAAAAAAGGTTATGCAATGAAAACTCCCCTTTCCCTGACCTCCAGCCACCCAGCTTCCCTCCCTAGAGATGAACGATGTTAATCAGTTACTTTTATACCCTACCAGAGGCATTTCCTGCACATATAAACAGACCTCCATGTGTATTTGTCCCTTTTTAAAAAACATACAACCTATCTGTATACTTCTTTTTTTTTTAATAACTACTTTGAGATGTAATTCATGTCCCATGAAGTTCCCCCTTTTAAAGTGTACAAGTCAGTGGGCTTTAGTATGTTCACAAGATTGTGCGTCAGTCAGCACTAATTCCAGAACATTCACATTGCCCAGTACTCATTAGCAGTCACTCCCCATCTCCCTTCCCTCACCCTCAGGCAACCACTAACCTACTGGCTGTCTCTATGGATTTGCCTATTCTGGACACTTCGTATCAATGGGCTCATACAGTATGTGGCCTTTTGTGTCTGGCTTCTTTCAGGTAGCAAAATATTTTTAAGATTCATCCATATTGTAACATGCATTAACACTTCCTTCCTGTTTATGGCTCTATATCACATTTTGTTTATCCATTCATCAGTTGATAGATGACTGGGTTGTTTCTACTTCTCAGCTATTAGAAATAATGTTGCTATAAACATTTGTGTGCCAGTTTTTCTCTGTCGTTGTGTTTTCATTTCTCTAGGCTATATGACCAGGAGTGTAACTGCTGGGCCACATAGTAACTATGTTCAACTTTTTGCCTATCAGCGAGGCTATTTTCCAAAAAGCTGCATTGTTTTACATTTCCCCCAGCAGTGTATGAGGGTTGCAGTTTCTCTGTCTCATTATAGGCATCACAGTAGGTATGAAGTAGTGTATCATTGTGGTTTTGATTGACATATCCCTAATGACTAATGAAGTTCAACACCTTTTCTTATGCTTCTTGGTCATTTGTATATCTTTCTTAGAGAAATGTCTGTTTGGATCCTTTACCCATTTTTAAATTAAGTTATTCATCTTTTTTAGTGGCATTGTAAGAGTTCTTTATATATTCTGGATCCCTTAGAGATAGATAGATAATTTGCAAAAATTTTCTCCCATTCTGTGGGTTGTCTTTTTACTTTCTTCACATTGTGCTCTGAAGCACAAATGTTTTTAATTTTGATGAAGTCCAATTCGTCCATTCTTTGGTTGTTTGTGATTTTGGTGTCATGACTAAGAAACCATTGTTACAAAAGATTTATTCATGTTTTATTGTAATACTGTTACAGCTTTTAGCTCTTACATTAGGTCTCTGATACATTTTGAATTAATTTTTGTATGTGGTGTGAAGTAGGGGGTTCAGCTTCATTCTTTTATGTGTGTATATCTGTCTTAACACCACTTTTGAAAAGACTGTTCTTACTCCACTGTATTGTCTTGGGACTCTTGTAAAAAATGAATTAGCCATAAATGTTTGGGTTCATGTATAGACTTACAGTTCTCCTCCATTGATCTGTATCTGTCTCATATCACATGGTATTGATTACTATAGCTTTGTAGTAAGGTTTAAAAGAAGAAAGTGTGAGTCTTTCTATTTTGTTCTTTTCTAAGATGATTTTGGCTACTGTAGGTCCCTGGTATTTCCATCTAAATTTTAGGATTAGTTGATCAATTTCTGTGAAAAAGGTGGCTGATATTTTGATAGGGATTGTGTTGGTTTAGCAGATAAACTTGGGAATGCTGCAATGGTAACAATGTTGTCTTTTAATCTATGAACATGGGACCTCTTGGTGTTTGTTTAGGTCTGCTAAGATGTTGTATAGTTTTCAGTGTGTAAGTCTTCTTTTTCTACTGTTAAATTTATTCCTAACTTTTTTTTGTTTTTGATGCTGTTATAAATGGGTGTGCATATTTATTCCTTGCTTTCTTCACTTAGCAATATATCTTGGAGATCTTTCCTATCAGTAAAATCATATCACTTTATTATATTACTTACAATTCAGTTTTTTGAATGGCTTAATGTTTCACTATATGGATATGCCATAATTTATTTAATCAGTTCTCTATTGTTAGCATTTACATTATTTCCTAGCTTTGGTAATACAGATTTTTTAGTGCTGCAGTGTTTAATTTTGTACATAGGTGATTTTGTATCTCTGCAAATAAATCTGAAGGAAAATTCCTGCACATGTGTTCACCCAATCAGTGAATAGGTACATTTATAAATGTCATTGCTCTCCCCAATATCAGCTTCTATCCCTACACTTGGTGCTCACACTGCTTCTGCTGGCTTCCCCAGTAGAATTCTGATTCTACTTTCCCTGCTTTCAGGCATGGATGTTGTAAAGGTTGGGGGTCCTGTCTACAGGATTGGAGTTGGGGGTGGAGCTGCTTCATCTGTGCAGGTAAAACAGCTCAGGTGCTGCCTCAGTGATACTGTTGGGCCCTATGCGTGGGTGGTGTATGAGCTCCCAGCCCCTCTGAGCTGAGAGCTCTGTCATATGTCCCCCCAGGTGCAGGGAGACAACACCAGTGAGTTGGACTTTGGAGCTGTACAGCGGGGAGACCCAGAGATGGAACAGAAGATGAACCGCATAATCCGGGCTTGTGTAGAGGCCCCCAGGGGAAACCCCATCTGTAGCCTCCATGACCAGGGTGCTGGTGGCAATGGTGAGAGAAGGGGTTGGAACAGGGGATGGGCCTACCTCGTCTCCTGTCAGGCTTGGTTTAGGTAAAGGCATCAAGGATCTGCAACCAATCACCCAGCTCTGGATCCCGTTCTTCCCCGACCCCTTGCATTCTGGAGAGGCTGAGGGTTGGGGCGTGGAAGCCTGCTGTCACAGGATGGTTGGTGGTGAGGGTGCAGCAGTGATCTGCATGGGGACACACAGAACTAGGGCCTCCTTTGGAGGCCAGGGATTGCCCCTTTGTTTGCCTGGTGCTGACCATGGCCAGATCACCACCTCTCCACAAACTCTCACCAGGCAATGTCCTGAAGGAGCTGAGTGACCCAGCTGGAGCCATCATTTACACCAGCCGCTTCCAGGTGGGTGCGAGTCCCTGAAGCCTGGCTGTTTCCCTGTTCTGCCAGCTCCAGCTGGCCCCACCCCTCTTCCCCTGACTCCCAGCAAGAAGTTGAGACTTCGAAGAGTTCATTGACCCTTCTTTTCCTCCTCTCCATGGGTGTGCAGCTCAGGGATCCAACCCTGAATGCCCTGGAAATCTGGGGGGCCGAGTACCAGGAGTCAAATGCCCTTCTCCTGAGGCCCCCCAACCGGGACTTCTTGAGGCGCGTCAGTGCCCGGGAGCGCTGCCCAGCTTGCTTTGTGGGCACCATCACTGGCAACGGGAGGGTGAGTGGGCCCAGGGAGTTGGTGGCAGGTGCTGTGGGTGGGCTAGAGCTGCCTGACTATGGCCGGAGGGAGGGAGGGAGAGCTGTCAAGGGAAGGAGGTGAGATGAGAGGAGAGTGGGATCTGAGGGCACACACTGTGGGGAACAGCATGTAGGAGGCCATAGGGGATGGGGACTCAATGGGGGAAGCCAGATGGAGTGGAAAGAACATCTCTGCCCTGCTCTCTAGAATAGTGGTCTCTGCTCGTGTTCAGCCTCAGTCCCTCTGGGGGGTGTCCCTGTGGTCCACAGATAGTGCTGGTGGATGATCGGGAGTGTCCCGTGGGAAGAAATGGCCAGGGGGATGCCCCCCCAACGCCACCCCCAACCCCTGTGGACCTGGAGCTGGACTGGGTGCTGGGCAAGATGCCTCGGAAGGTATGTGGGGTGGGAGGGGAGGCAGGGTTTCTCCCTTCTCTGCCCCAGCTCTTTAGACAGCCCCTTACCCTACAGGTGCTTTGTCCCCTAAGCCCAACCCTCCCCCAGGTGCTCACGCCCATCGTCTTCTGTTGTAGGAGTTCTTCCTCCAAAGGGTCCTCCCTGTGCTACAGCCGCTGGCCCTGCCCCCAGGGCTGAGCGTGCGCCAGGTTCTGGAACGGGTTCTGAGGCTGCCTGCCGTGGCCAGCAAGCGCTATCTCACTAACAAGGTCCTCCCTGCACTCTTTTTCTGCCCCTTCAGCCCTCTGCACCCTTCTCTCTGCTCACCCACCCCTGGCCTCCCACATTTGGGGACTGCTGCGGGGATTCACCAGGCCCAAGGGAGAAGTATCAGGGCAGGGCAGCCACCTAGTGGCTTGTGCCCTACTGCCCACACTCTGAGTCTTGTCTGTATGTTTGTGGTGAACTAGGCCTCCCACCCCCCTGGTGTCCCTGCCCCTTGTCCTCTTGCCAACTGCACCTGGTTCTGCAGGTGGACCGCTCTGTGGGTGGCCTGGTGGCGCAGCAGCAGTGTGTTGGACCCCTGCAGACCCCTCTGGCAGATGTAGCTGTTGTGGCACTGAGTCACCAAGAGCTTGTAGGGGCTGCCACAGCCCTGGGAGAGCAGCCAGTCAAGAGCCTGCTGGACCCCAAGGTTGCCGCCCGGCTGGCTGTGGCTGAAGCCCTCACCAACCTGGTGTTTGCTCTGGTCACTGATCTCCAGGTAAGTCCCTGCAGCTTCTGCCGTGGAACCCCAGGCCTCTGGGACACGTTCACATCCACCATTCCCTTCCCTTCTTGCCCTTCATGCTCACGGCCTCCCAGCTCCTCCGCCCCCACCCCCAGGCTCTCCACATGACTCTTCCTCTTTAATGCCCATTCTCCTCTGCTTCCTAGGATGTGAAATGCAGTGGGAATTGGATGTGGGCAGCCAAACTCCCAGGGGAGGGTGCAGCTCTGGCCGATGCCTGTGAGGCTATGGTGGCAGTGATGGCAGCTCTGGGTGTAGCAGTGGATGGTGGCAAGGACTCCCTCAGCATGGCTGCCCGGGTGGGCTCTGATACTGTGCGGGCTCCTGGTAAGGTCTAGGGGTCATGGGGAAAGGGGCATGAACATCAGGGCTGGACTGGAACCTCATTTTCTTATTCCTTGCTCTGCAGGATCTCTGGTCATCTCAGCTTATGCTGTCTGTCCAGACATTACAGCCACTGTGACCCCAGACCTCAAGCATCCTGGAGGAAGAGGTGTGGGTTCTCTGCCTCTTCATTGCATTGTGCATTCAGAGCGTGGTCCTTTGTTTGGGGCCTGCTTTGTGAGGGCTGGGGCCCTGCACATGAGCAGGGCAGGAAGGGGTTCTCCTGAGCTGCCCATCTCCCCTCACCCCTGCCCTGTCTCCCCAGGCCGACTGCTCTACGTGCCTCTGAGCCCTGGGCAGCACCGGCTGGGAGGCACAGCTCTGGCCCAGTGCTTCTCCCAGCTTGGTGAGCAGCCTCCCAACCTGGACTCCCCTGAGAAGTTGGTGCGTGCCTTCAGCATCACCCAGGGGCTGCTGAAAGGTGAGTGAGACCCTGGGGAAGATGGTGCGTGTGGCTGATACATGGCTGGCATTCACCAGCTGAGCAAGCGAGGGTGAGGCAGGAGGGATCAAATGCCCTTCTCTTTGGTTCTGAGTGTGTCCATATTTTCTTGCACACACTCTGTACTGACTCTCTAGGAGGGGGTGTGGGGCCACCAGGTTTGGGCCCTGAGATTGCTGAGCTTTTTTCTTCTTCTACCAGACCGCGTCCTCTGCTCAGGCCATGACGTCAGCGATGGGGGTCTCATCACCTGCCTGCTAGAAATGGCCTTTGCCGGAAATTGTGGGATCCAGGTGGATATACCTGCCCCTGGGGTCGACGGTGAGCCCAGGATAAGGACTCAGGCATGGGATGCCTGCCCCACCTGCGGAACCCATGTCCTATTAAAGAACAGTGATTCCCCATCCCTTTTCTCCAGAGTCTCTTGCTGCCTTCTCTGACCACTAAGCCAGGTGTTACCAACTGTTCCTGAGTGTACCCCCCTACGGCCTCCTGCAGACCCTGATGCCACACCCTTGGTCCTGCTCTCCCAAGCTTCACCCTGCCGCCCCCCTAATCCCTGCCTCCACTGCCTTAGCCATATCCCCGACTCCACCCCTGAGCCCCCGGCAACACCCTAGTCATCCTGACACACCCATTGCTCTCCCAGCTCTGCCTGTGCTATTTGCCGAGGAGCCAGGCCTGGTGCTGGAGGTGCAGGAGGCAGACCTGGCCCAAGTGCTAAAGCGGTACCGGGATGCTGGCCTCTGCTGCTTGGAGCTGGGCCGTACAGGAGACGCGGGGCCCCACGCCATGGTGAGGATGTGAAGATCAGGGCTCAGCAGGGAGGCTGTGGCTCACCTCTGCCAGCCTTGGAAGGTGCCCAGGTGGACATTTCCTTTTCTTGACCCCTGAGAGATTTGCCTCTCTCTCCAGGTAAGGGTATCAGTGAACGGGCCTGTGGTTCTGGAGGAGCCTGTTGGGCAACTACGAGCCCTCTGGGAGGAGACGAGTTTCCAGTTGGATCGGCTGCAGGCAGAGCCACACTGTGTAGCCGAGGAAGAACAGGGGCTGAGGGAGCGGACAGGACCCAGCTACTGCCTGCCCCCCACTTTTCCTAAAGCTTCCATGCCCCACGAGCCTGGTGAGGAAATGTATGCAGAGACTTGTCTTCTTGGCACTTGAGCCTGGGAGTTGATCCCCCAGCCTGGTACTGGGACCTGCCCTGGACCAGGTGTCTGGGCAGTTGGGGTGGAGAAATAGCCCTCTAGCACAGAGATACTCTTCCCCTAGGTGGTCCCACCCCCCGAGTTGCCATTCTGCGAGAGGAAGGCAGTAATGGAGACCGAGAGATGGCTGACGCCTTCCACTTGGCTGGGTTTGAGGTGAGCAGGGTGGCTGGCAGAGCTGGGGCTGGGCCTTGGGCTATTTGTCCTCTGATGTATTCCCCTTCTCCCCGATCTGCCAGGTGTGGGATGTGACCATGCAGGACCTCTACTCTGGGGCAATCAAGCTGGACATGTTCCGCGGTGTAGCCTTCGTGGGTGGCTTCAGCTACGCAGATGTCCTGGGCTCTGCCAAAGGTGGGGGTGTAGGCCTCTGTCCACTCCCACTCCCATCCATTCCTGAAGAGCTGCCTTAGTAGCTCCCTTCTCCCTTGAATGAGAATTGGCCTCACCTCCAAAAGGCCAGGGAAGAGTAAATACATTCATTCTGGGCCAGATGCCATTAGAGGCCTGCAGGTAACTATACTGAGGCTGTGGGCTGGGTAGTGCTGTGCCAACCTGGAGGGCACATGCCCTGTCTAAAGGGGCAGCTGCCACTCAGCTCCAGTAGGTTGTCCTCTTGGAAAGCTGCTTCAGCGGAGCCAGATCTTTCTGTTTTTCAAGAGAGCGCAAAAATCCAGAGTTCTATGTGAAATCTTATTTTCAAATGTTAGGCAACCAAATAAAAAATTTTAGAAATGCTCTTGGCATTTCAAAAGAACTTACCATGGGCCATCTCTGGCCTCGGAGTTGGCAACATCTGATTTAAGCAGATAAGCCCATTTCTTCCCTTGTATTTGCCCTGAGCTCTTCAGGCAGAGGCAGTCCTGGTGGAAATGGGGAGAAGGGTAACAGTGCATGCCAGGATGGAAAGCAGCCATCCCCCTTCATTCCAGTCTCACCCCAAATTCCCTGCTTCCTCCTAGGGTGGGCGGCTGCTGTGACCTTTCATCCACAGGCGGGGGCTGAGCTGCGGCGCTTCCGGAAGCGGCCAGACACCTTCAGCCTGGGCGTGTGTAATGGCTGCCAACTGCTGGCTCTGCTAGGCTGGGTGGGAGGCAACCCCAAAGAGGAGGCAGGAGAGATAGGCCATAACTCCTGGCCAGTGCAGCCAGGCCTCCTGCTGCGCCACAACCTATCTGGGCGTTACGAATCTCGCTGGGCCAGTGTGCATGTGGGGCCCGGGCCGGCCCTGATGCTGCGAGGGATGGAGGGTGCCGTGCTGCCCGTGTGGAGTGCTCATGGGGAAGGTGAGGCTCTGGGAAGGCAGGGGAGGGTCTCAGAGCAGGGGTGGATGGAAGGCATGAAGGAGCTTTGCTCTCACTTCCCTTCTTCCCTCCCAGGTTACATGGCATTTTCTTCTCTGGAACTTCAAGCTCAGATTGAGGCCAGGGGCTTGGCTCCGCTGCACTGGGCTGATGATGATGGGAAGCCCACCGAACAGTACCCCCTGAATCCCAACGGGTCCCCAGGGGGCGTGGCTGGCGTCTGCTCTCTTGATGGCCGCCACCTGGCTCTCATGCCTCACCCTGAGCGGACTGTGAGGCCTTGGCAGTGGGCATGGCGACCCCCTCCATTTGACACTCTGACCACCTCCCCCTGGCTCCAGCTCTTTATCAATGCCCGAAAGTGGATCCAGGAAGGAGGCTGCTGAGAGGCCAGGGAGGCTTACCTGAGCCTCATGATTTGTGCCTGGGATATCTGCTGCCCTGTCTCTTACTTCTTCAGAGCACTCCATATTATTTCCAAATGTGTCTTCGACAAAGAACACATGCCAAAAAACCTCAGCTAATTTTATTAATCTGCCTGCTTTTGCCTTATGCTGTTAGGTCTGGTTTTAGTTCTCCTTTAACATCTGTCCTTTGTGGGCCTGGGAAGCAGGATGTGGTTCAGAGAAGAGTGGCTGCAGTGGGAAGTTAGGGTGTTGGGGGGGCTCCATTGCCCCACTTCACCCAGTGTGCTTCATGCCACTCATCTGGGCCTGGAGGGGTATTTTATGTCCTCCTCCTCAACATTGACATTTAGAGAATGGGGGCATATAAAAGCATGCAAGTGAGGACCTCAGCATTCTCATTTGAGAAAGATTAAGAGCTTTCTAGATTCCTCTTCTAAAAAGCAGCAGTGTGCTAAGTGTGAATAATTGTTTGCAGAACTGACTCTGGCTGTATCAGAGGGCTGCCATGGCATTGGTCTCTGGACTCAGTATCCTGAGTTTTACGCCTAATTTGGCAGCTCTCTTCCTGACAGAAGTGGTCAGTACCCTCATCCCCAGCACTGAGCCTTTAATGTTGATTCGTTCATTCCTTCATTCCATTAAGGTGATCAGTTGCAGTGCCAAGGACTGTCACTGACCCCAGAAATTTATGATCTGATAGACTTTAAAATAATAGCTGTTAATATGTGAGCCAAGCGTGTGTTGGGGATTTTATATGTATCTAAATTATTTTTCAGAAGAATTCAGCAAGGTACTTGATAAACTTTTTTTTTTTCCCCAAAGGAAGAATTAAGGTTAAATAAATTGCCTAAGGTCACACACAGCTCTTAAGGACAGGGCCAGAAGGCCATGCTCACTTGTGTGTCACCTCTTCCTACCGTCCTGCAGTCACACTTCCTGCCGGATGGTAGTATCAAGAGGTCTTGCTGACTGCTGTCCATTGCTTCCTTCCCTCATAGGAGCGTGTATACAAGTACTTGCCCATGAACTGTCCTGTTGTACAGCTCAAGTCAGCTTGCCCCCTAAACAGTTTGTTTTCATTAAGGAAGTTTCCCTGAGAATGTAGACTGAAATCTCAGATTCCTGAGGGCACTGGGCCTAGGGAAGCGAAGAAGTGGAGCACCTGTTCCTGGAACAGAGGATCCGCCCTAGAAAGAGGCTAATCGCAGTGAAACCATCTTTAATTACGGCTATGGAGAAAAGCATTTCAGGTCTTTGCTCATTGCTTTGTAAACTGACCTACCTGAGCAGTATAGGGGTGATAAGGGTCATTTTTGGCATTTGAATATTCCTTCTTGGTATTGGGAAGATAGATAGATAGATAGATGTGTGTGTGTGTGTATATAAATATATATATGTAGATGTAATTTTTTTACTTATATATATATATATATATAATTTTAATAAATCTCAAATGCACAGTTTTAGTGATGATACCACAGGTTAGACATCAGGTTTACAAAGTGCTTGATGCCAAAGTGGAAGGGTAGTATGTGAGGTACCCTGCTGATGGGCTGTAATAAGTAAATTTATGCTTTTGTAGATGGTCCAGTTTCTGGTTTGGATCATCGTGGACACTGCCAAGATCAAGTCCGTTCAGCTTCTCACCCTATTTTTTTTTTTGTTCAGTAGCCACACAACTCTGTCCTTTCTGGTCCCTGACCTAGCTCCTAACTCCCCACCCCTACCAGAGGCCCTTGAGCAAACGCCTACAGGCTCGCTGTTCTCCACCCCTCCTATCCTTCTTGGGAAACCAGCTTCTCTGAAAGCCATTCCACAGCCTCTCTAAGTAGTGGCTTTTATTCTCCAATCTCATACTCTAAAGGCCAGGTACAGGTACAGACACCCTGTTCCACTTTCAGATTATTCTCTACCTGCCTTGAAGAAAATCTTGTCCATTTCACGCTGATGCTATTGTATTTCACCTTCACCCCCTACTTTGTGATCTGACTTTCCCATCACTCCTTGTGGAAGAGACTGTGATCTGACTTTCCCAATATCTGAGTCCCCCTCTAAAAATAGAAACCTCCAGTATTTTAGTGGGGGTCATGTCTGCTCAGAATAAAGACATTGGCCAGTTTCCCTTACAGCTATGAGTAAATTCTGACTGGTAAGAGAAAACATACGCAACTTCCAAGTGTTCTTAAAGGATGGATGCACACTTCTCTTCATTCTTGCTTCCTGGAATGAAGACTTGATGGCTGTAACTTCAGGACCATATTGGACCATGAGATAGTTTTGGAAATTGACACCTTGTGGAGCAGAATCACAATACAGGAGACTGGGTCTCTTACTCTAGGACTACATAAGAGCTCTGAACAAGTTATTGCTGGATGTCTTTATGGGAGACAAAATGTCTGTTTTGTTTAAGCCCAATTTTGCTGTTTTCTGTTATTTGCAGCCAAACCTTACCCTAGTCAACTCTTCCTAATGCCCCCTCATTCTTCAAGGTTATTGGGCCCTAGGTCATAGTCTTGCTCTCCACCTCAGTCCTTCCCATTATCCTTGATCCATGTGGGTGACGATTTAACACCCACTACATTTCTTCAATGACTTCTACCTTGGCCAACCACCTCACCTTGGATTTTGTCATCACACAGATCTGCTTCATCTCCAGGCTCATTCAAGCACCCTACCTCTGACCCTGACATCACTTCCTCCCATCTTGCTACTTCATCCTCAGTACTGAGATGCCAGTCATTAGGACCTCCAGCTCAGTAACAACTTTGCCCCCTCCATCTTTTTTCTTCCCTCCTTATCCAACTTCAGTAATAGCCTTCCCAATGCTCTTTAACTTGACCCAGTATCTTTAAATCATTTCCATTTTACAAAACCGTAACCTGTAAGTTTTCTCTGAGAAAGCCAGATAACAGGAGATTGTCTCAAGTTTATCATTACCTACCTATGGGGGAAACAGGTTGGGAATGAGAGAGATCAGAGGTAGTAAGAGAGGGCACATAAATGGAGCCACAATAATTATATACTGTGAAATGAAGGGTTTTGATGATCTCTGCTCTCTACACTTAAGGTCTTGAAAAAAAATTTACAACATCCAAGCCCTATCATCAGGTCCTGTCCTTGAGTTCTCATCATCCAACAGCTCTCTGATCAGATCCTTTGTTGGACACTGGAGGTTCCACTTACCACCCTTTTCAGCGCAAGTCACCATTGTAATTTATTTTTTACCATTGCACTCATATTGAGCTATATGTTTTTTTATCAAAACTGTCTCCTCAGTAAAGTGTAAACTTCTTGAGAGCAAGAACTCCATTTTTTTGCTCTCCACTGTATCCTACCATCTAGCATAGTGCCTGTCACATACTACATGCTCAATAAATATATGTTGACTGAATGAAGAAATATGAATGTTAAAATTTGTAGAGACTGATACGCTTCTTTTTCCTTAATAGAAGAATGCACTTACTGACTTCGGTTTATGGGTGGCTTGGCTTTGCAGGTTCTCTCAAGCATTTCTCCTTTTCACTTCATTTGTCCAGTCATTCAAGGTCATAAGCTCTTGTCATTGCATCAAGTGAAGGACACTATATGTATGCACGTTAGGGTGGAACTGGAAAGACAGGAAGAACCAGTAAGTCTTGTCTTTTTCTCAATTTAACACCTGCCTGGCAGCCAACAGCGTTCTTTAATTTAACAGAAGACAGCACTGGCCTGAGCATGGCCTAGTCCCCCATCAGTGCGAGGTGTGCTGGATGGAGCACTACTGGTAAGGACTGGGCACAGAGAGGGAGCAGTGTGTGCAAGGAGTCCACACAGCACCACCTGGAAAAAGCCACTTACTCCAGAGATGCTCCCCCCCTCTCCCAACAGGCCACCCCATCCCTGGATGTCCCTCTAAACCACAGTTGGGAGGTTCTCCCCAAACCAGGGCACAGACAAGGGAAACTGACTGGAAAGAAAGGAGGTGGGTATCAGACAGTTGTAAGCCTGTTGGAGGACAGTTTCCCACGGCAGCTGAGCCTCCAGATTCCCAGGGTCCAGCACACTGTATTGCCTCAGTACCTGCTTACTCAAGACTGAAGCAGAAATCAGAGATCTTTGGCCTGTCATTGGACACTTGGGGGTGGCAAATAGCCAGATAGGGGAGCACCATACACCACTATGGTGGGCCCTGGGTTGGAGTCCTGTCTCAGGCTCCTGGAAAGCCCTTCCTGTGTGAGCAACCTGAATGCCTGTGACTAAGCCATTTTACCCTGAGGAGCAGTGGGTTTGCACAGGTTCATCTACCTGGTCAGGCTGGACGAGAAGCCTGTGTGGTTCAGAACAGGACAAGGATGTGAAACAGCCTCACTCAAGCTGTCATTCACGTAAGAACATGGTCAAGGACCTTCTTCCAGGGCACACACATGGACGGAGACACACTCGAAACAAGCTATTTCAATGAAGTTTCTTTCAGGGGAAGCTCGGTACTCTGGGAGCTCACAGCAGGGGATATGGCCCAGACTTTCAGGATCAGAGGATTCCCAGGAGACCTAAGGGATGAGTGGCAGCTTGTTTCAGGAAAGGGGAGCAAGGGCCCAACTCCGGGAAAGCCCAACAGTATTTGCAAAGCCTCAGAGGAGGAGGACATGCTGAGTTAAGGAACTGAACAAAAGGAAGTGAGTCTCTACAATACCCTGTCTGGAACATTAAGCACAATGAGAAACAGGACAGGTGCAGTTAAACATCTACTAGGGCAGGTTAAAGAATCTGGACTTTATCCTGTGAACAATAGGAGATCTCTTAAATGGGTTTACATAGGGGAGAGACATGATCACTCCAGCTGCAGAGGAGGAAGACAGGAGATGTGGGGAATCCAATAAATGGACTTGAGTCTCCAGGCAGAAATAATGTTGCCCAGGGCTGGGGTGGTAGAAGTGGAGATGGAGAGATGAAAGGATTCATGAGACTTTAGGCGGTAGAATCAACAGGAACTAGAGATGAGGGTGTTATGGAAAATACTGGAAAACCTGGACTGGATCGCTGATAGAAGAACCAAGCAGCACTCGGAGGTCTTGGAGTGTTGAGGTTTTATTTCACACCAGCGGGCTCAGAGGGGAGTAATCTCCCAAGGTCTGACCCCTGAGCAC